GCGATGCCCTTGTCCGCCGCCATCTTGGCCGTCGCCTGCAGCTCCTCGGGGCGGGGGGCGTCGCCGCGGAGGGGCTGGAGGAGGGAGGTCTGTTGGTTGCTGCTGGTTTTAGGAGATAGCTCCTGGGAGCCAAACCGATTAGCCCGAAGTCCATCTGGACGCCTGAGGCCGATCAGCCCAAAATCAAGCCAGACGCCGGACTGAGCAGGAGTAAGCGAAACTTCGCGGGATTATGCCGCATCAGGCCAGCTTCGACCACGGATTGACCAGCGCCGATACTGGCTGGAACCCCCCAAGAATTGCATCCTAATACTTTGGCTGGGAATGAACGCTTTTCCAAATTTGATCTGAAGAAACATGACGGCGGGAGGGTTGGGCAAGTCTCGGCCTCCGAAGGACCTTGCCCAGCTCGAGGGCCGTCAGAGATGGCTCAGGAAGAGAAGCTGGCCTCGCGGAGAGGGTCGACACTACGGCGAGAATGATATCAGGTTGCGATTGGCTCAGGAGACGTTCTGGGAGTTCCAAAGTATCTAGCGGCCCTCGTTTCTGGAGCCCGTGCAGAACAAAAGGAACTCTTGGAGTTCATGCTCAAGGCATGTCATTATCGTGACTTCTTGCTCCTCTGATGTGAAGGCCAGCACTCCTGGGGCGCGTGTTGAAAAAGTCGCGGCACAGCATCTCCGGGATCGGCAAGTAGACAAACGCGCTCCAAGACTCGCAAAGTAACTACTCGCAAATGGCCTGGATCCGCCGCGGGGGATTCACGATACATTACATTACGTCGAGGCAAACAAGTCTTCCTTCGAATGTTTGCGAGTCAGCACTCTGCGAGTAGTGAAACGCCCTCGATGAGCAAGCGAGGAGGAGAAGCACCGGGAGAGCCCCCCCCCGCGCCCGCAGGCGTCAACCACGGCCTGCAGGTAGGAGCGGCCGGGGAAGCAAAGGGAGGCCACCAGAGGTCTCCAGGGCGTGGCAGGCCTCCAGAAAGCTACGACGATCGGATGTCCGCGGTCTGGGCGTTTGTCCTCGACTTCGGCCTCGGGGTCCCAGCATCGCGCCCCAGGATCGCCCCAAAGGTGTCCAGGGCTGCGGCAGACGGCCCCAGAGGCCTCCAAGAGGGCCCCTGAACAGGCAAAGAGGGCCCCCCACACGGTCCCAGAGGCCTCCAGCATGGCCAAAAAGAGCCCCTAGACCGCCGTAAGAAGGGCCCCGAAGGGGAACCCGAGCCCGCATTTCGAGCCCTCGGCCCCTCAAGGCCTCCCCGAAGCTCCAAGAGGCCCCCCACAGGCCCCATGAAGCGCCCAAGAGGGCACCAAGAAGCCCCGAAAAGGCCCCCAATATGCCCTGAGGAGCAACACGCAACCACCGATTTCCCAAGGGGTCGGCGAGGCGAGGCGAGCGCGCGGCTCCGCCGGTAGCGGGGGCCTTTGGGGCCTGCGCGGGGGGGCCGGGGCCCTCAGTGCTTGTAGTCCTTGTGTGCCGAGGTCGGGGTGCTGAGTTATGAGCTGGTGGACGCTGGAGGTCAAGAGGTGCAGGTGGAAGTGGAGTCGGAAGCCGGATGCTGGAGTCGGAGTGGCGTAAAGCCCAAGAATCATATCGTCGGATGTCTGGGTCCACAAATGCCTGGAGGCCGCCGTCAGTCAGTCAGTCACATGCCAGGCGCCACGCAACAGCGCATCGGCACGGAATCCGCCGACCCCTTGGAGCCACGGCGTGTGAGATGCTCCCCCCTCCCCAAACCCCTCCCCGGGAGCCCGGTCCGGCCGGTTTGGAGGGGGGGGAGGGGGGGGGCAAAGGTGTCATCAGGCCCCACGAAGCCCCAGAGGGCTCCAACCAGCCCCCACGACGGCCCAAGAGGCCCCCAAGACGCCCAAAGGTCGGCCCAAGACGCCCAGGATGGCCCCAAGACGGCCCCAGAAGCCTCCCAGACAAGAGCATTCCCAAGAGGGGCCCAAGATGCCAAAATCGTCGAATTCCTGTGGGAAAACGTAATGTTTTATCATACACGACTTTTCGGCCTTCACGGCGTTGAAAACGGCCCCAAAGTCCCCCAAGACCACCCCAAAACGGCCCAAGAGGCTCCCAAGAGACGCTCGAAACGGCCCAAGAGGGCGCCAAGACGGCCCAAGAGGCTCCCAAGACGGCCCAAGAGTGCCCCAAGACGGCCCAAAGAGGGGCCCAATAGGGGGAGCCTGAACCAACAATCCGAACCTTCCGCCCCAAAGCGGCCCCACGGGGGCCCAAGAGGCGCCCAACAGGGCCCACGGGGTCCCCAAGAGGCCCCCCAAGAGGCCCCAAGAGGCCCCCAAGAGGCCCCCAAGAGGCCCCAAGAGGCCCCCAAGAAGCTCAAAAGAAGCCCCAAGTACCATTTGAGGCATGCAACTTCTAACCCGCAACGCAGGCTCCAAGGATCTCGGACCGACAACCAAGGCACGGTGGCGGGATGGGCCGAGGGCATAATATATCCGCCGCCCCCTTCTGTTTCATCAAAGGGGTGCCTGGCATGCTGAACTATATGGCTTTTGGTTTTGGTTCTTTTCCAAAAGAAGACACGGCCCCAAGAGGCCCCCAAGACGGCCCAAGAGGTCTCCAAGACGCTCAAGATGGCCTCCAAGACGGCCCAAGAGCCCTCCAAGACGTCCTCCAAGAAGGCCCGACAGGGTCAAAATGGCCTCCAGACGGCCAAGGTGACCTTCAAGATGCCCACGTGTTCCCCAAAGGCTTTCCAAACCGATTCGGGGAACACATGGTCCGATAGCTTGGCAGGTCTGGCCTCAACCTTCGGCCACATAGGCGTTTCCACAAAGGCAGGGGGCGGCGGTGATTCGCCGTAGGCGTCTTCGGTATATATATATATATACACACACATACATACATACATATACACATACACACGTACATGCCTACATACTACATACGTACATACGTACATACGTACATACGTACATACGTACATACGTACATACGTACATACGTACATACGTACATGTGTACGTACATATATACATACATTCATACAGACATGCACATATGTGTGACACTCGGCACAGCCGAGGTTACCAAGAGCACTCCCAAGAGGGGCCCAAGAGGCCACTATCGTCGAATGCTTATGTTTCACAGATTTTCGTGGCCATTCGACCACCCGAAGCATCTCCTCGAATTCAGCCTCCAGGAGACGGTTTCGGTGCCCGGGACCACCACCGAGGGTCCGGGGTGAGGATCGACCTCCCTGGCTGGTGCCTCCCCTTCGCAAAGGAAGGAACACGGGGTGGACCGAGGCTCGAAGCATGAGACTCCTAGTTCTTGGGCGCTCTGCGCCCCCTCTGGGCCTTCAGGAAGCTCCTCGTCGACACAGCTGGGTCCACTCTCGAACTTCTGACCGGACGCACCCCCAGCTGGGTCTCAACGATCCCCGAGCCTATCCAGGGGGTGGAAAAGGAGGCCTGGGACAGGCCTCGTGAAGGCCTCAAGCAACCCACATAAGACCACGAAAAACTTCAAAACAGTCCCCTACAAGGCCCCCTCTTGAACCCCACGCGCTACGCAAGACAGGCCGAAATCCCAAGATTGCCCAGCGATCGCGCGCGTTCCGCGAACTCCGTCTTTCACTCTTGCTGCCGCCCCAAGGGGTCGGCGGTGCGGCGTAAGCCACCGAATCGACGAGCACGATTGACTCACGGATAAGAATCGCGCGATAGCCTGTGTGCTTGCCAAACGCAAGCGCCGGGAGCGGTGGAGGAAGGGAGGAGATGAAGGGGGAGGGGAGAGGACAGAGGCCGGGGTGGCTGTCAGAAAGCGGCTTGTGGAAGCCTGGGTCCGCATCCTCCTCCTCCTCCTCCTCCTCCTCCTCCTCCTCCTCCTCCTCCTTTCCCTCCTCACTCCTGTTCCTCACAGTTGAGCACGTCTTCACGACACTGACATCGCCCGCCACCGCCTCTTCCTCCTCCTCCTCCTCCTCCTCCTCCTCCTCCTCCTCCTCCTCCTCTTCGTCCTTTCCCTCCTCACTCCTCTTCCTCCCAGTTGAGCACGTCTTCACGACACTACCATCGTCCGCCGCCTCCTCTTCCTCCTCCTCCTCTACATATATTCAGGAAGCATCTCCTGGGGGGTCTTTGTTGGAACGACAAAGGAGACTAAGCCAACTCGAAACCGTTCCTTGGATGAACGGGAAGCATGAGAAAGCGAAGAGCTGCGCAAGAATGCGCAGCATCATCACGAACAACTGTAATGTGGGCGAGTTCTCCCAGCGTCCACAGGGGGATATCTACGGTCGCGCGCTCCCCGACCGTTCACAAGCCTGTTCCTGGTTCCCCTCCTAACTCTTCTGTACTCCTCACGTTTCCTCCGTCTCGCCCTCACGTTCATCATCATCATAATAATCATCATCATCATCATCATCATCATCATCATCATCATCATCATCATCATCATCATCATAATCATCATCATCATCATCATCATCATCATCACCATCACCATCACCATCACCACCACCACCAGAACATGACCGTCGTCATCATCGACAACATCATCCTCACCGTCATCCTCATCATCATCGTCATCGTGACTAGTACCATCACCAACACCACCACCATCAGAGCCGCATCGTCATCATCAGCAGCAGCATCATCATCCTCATCAGCATCCGTATAAGTATTCATCACCGTCATCATCATCATCATCATCAACAGCAGCAGCATCATCGTCGCTTATCATCATCATCATCATCATCATCATCATCATCATCATCATCATCATCATCATCATCATCATAAGCATCACGATCGTCATTATCAACATCACCCCATCATCAGCATCATCATCATCATGATCATCAGCAGCATCATCATAATGATCATCAGCAAGAGCAGTCTCAGCAAGAACATCATCACCAGCCTATCACCATGAATCTCCACAGCATCAGCGCAAGCATAAGCTTCGGCATCATCAACGGCAATAGCAGCATCATCAGCAGCATCATCATAGTCAGAATCATTGTCATTGTAAGCATCACAATCGTGAGCAATATCATCAGCAGCAAGAA